TTTTGAAATTTAGAATGTCAATTTGAGGAATCTGAAGTTGTTCTTATAGGCATTAGGATTCCAACAGAGGTTTCTAAGCAGGAAAATAACATACTTAGATGTATTATTTTAATCTTGGAAATGACTACAGAAGGAAGGAAGGAATGGGGGTGAAGAGATCGGAGCAGATAGCTGCAGCAGAGATGGGTGAAGTCTGAAACTGAGTGATCAAAAAAGAAATGAAGAAAGATGAGAGTCTAATTTAAAGATGATGCTGGCTGTGAACTTCATGCTAATTGATGGCAGAAAGAGAGTTCAGGTTGACTTTCAGGTTTCAGTAAGGACATTAAGTAAGACTGAAATTTGGAGAAACAGTGAATTTTGTACAAGCAGAAGTTTGGGCCAGAGGGCTGGGATTGTGGCCCAGCGGTTGATCCTGGGTTGGATCCTCAGCACCATATAAAAATAAATGAATAAAGGTATTGTGTCCAACTACAACTGAAAAAAAAAAATAAATATTTTTTTTAAAAAAGAAGTTTGGGCCAGAGCAATATGCATTTTTGTTTTGGAGATGCTTCAGGGACATTACAATTTCCACTTAAATGTGTCTAGTTGTTAGTAGGAAATAAAGGTCTAGAATTCAGGAGGGGCTCTAGATCTGGATAAAATAGGCAGGGCCATGTGGAGAGAAGAGTTGAAGCAGTGGTGTTGATTAAAATCACCCAGGAGGCTGTGGAGCATTGAGAGAAGAAACAGCTAGAACCTTCTGAAAACTACATCATTTGTGAAACAGACAGTGGTGGGGAAATCAAAGAGGAGCAGTCAGAGAGGGAGAGAAATCTGGGAAATCAAGCTACTACAGACATTGTAGAAAAAAGGAGAATGTTATATCTTCAGTGTCACCTCCTTAAAGGTATTTGCCCAAATGTCACCTTCTTAGTCCCGCTTCAATCATCTCCATTTTAAACTGTGACCCTAAAACAGAGCCCTCCTCTCATTTTTCTCCACAGCACCTGTCACCTGGTACATATGCAGTACACCTGTGTGGGTTTCTAAGGCTCCTCTTAGAATGTAAAGTCTATGAGGAAAGGGCTTTCTGATGACATACAATTGACTCTCCTGTTTTTTTTAATTTTTTGTAGTTGTAGATGGACAGAATGCCTTTATTTTGTCTATTTTTATGTGGTGCTGAAGATAGAACCCAGTGCCTCACACATGCTAGGCAAGCGCTCTGCTGCTGAGCTATAGCCCCAGCCCTGACCCTCCTATTTTGTAGGATGAACAAGTTGAGAGAGGATAAAAAAGGGGGGGGCATCTAATTCTTAATATCAAAATGTGGTGGGGCCTTTGTAGAGCCTAAAGGGTAGAAGAGCTGACAGACTGCAGGGATGTTGGAGCAAATGGGGAAGGGAGTGAGCCACTGAAATGGAATGGAAGTCAATCCTACCAGAAGTTTGGGGTAAAAAACAAAAAAAGAGGAGAGATTGGGCAAGAGCTAGAAGGGGTGAAGGATTGTTTGGGGGTTTCATTATCTTGTTTATATTGCCAGAAGAGATTGGCTTCTGGATTATGGATTATGGATTATGGATTATGGATTATGGTAAGATGGGGGGGGCAACTGAGAGACATCTGATGAAAGGTGTTGAAATAAAGGGAATTACAGAACCTTTTCTAGATCAATTCAAAAGTATGGAAGCCAGGCCAGCGAAGAAAAGCTCATACCCTTTCTTTGTTCAGTGCAACTAAAATCTCTTGTTTCCTGATGAAAAAGAGTATGAGTACTAGTGGAACATGAAGGCTGTGGGACCCTTCGGAGAGATTGCTGTTCATGCGGGTCCTGGAGGAAGAATTGCGGGCTTCCCTTAAACTTCTTAGGTTCCAAGCTACCACTCCCAGTGGACTTGAATAATAATAAAGAGGGTGTGGGGTAGGGGACAAGTGTCAAACCTAAAAATGCCATCGGGAGTTTTATTATTTAAAATATTTGTTCTGCGACTTAAGCCGGCAACAGGCAATTTAAAACAGTGTGCACTGCAAACAACAATGTAATGGGCACCTCACATTGGTTAAACTCATTACCTGGGGGTGTGTATGTGTGTAACCCAGAGCCTGGGCTGGCCTGGGGCGAGGGGGAGCCTGGGAACTACAAGGAAGAGATGAAATTAGTTGCAGACCCAGCTGGAATCGCAACGTGTAGGTTAAAGCACAGACGGGCATTTCTACCAGATTCCTTTTATTTCCTTCGGAAATCCTTCATTTCAGATGGTTCTGCAGCTCTGTCTTGGCGGCTTGGGCCCTGGGCTTCCAGTACCAGTAACGGAAAGATGACAAAAGAAGCCCCCCCCCCCTGCCTTGGTCTCAGCACCCTGATGGAGACTTGCCGGGCTATTTTCCAAACCCAAAGCCTTGGTTGCCACTTTGCCTCCCTCTCAGCCTGGCGAGGCGCCGTTCGCCCATCCTCACCCAGTTAAGAGCTTTAGTTCTAACTTTGGAGATGCTGTTAGGCTGAGAGAGCCATGCTCAGAATGGATTTTTAAATTTTATTTTTTTAGTTAGTTTTTAAGAAAGCGGAGGCCCATACAGGTAACCGGGACCTCGAAGGATGTGAGCCACTGGGAGACACGTGTCCGTACCTGGAGTAGATGGGAGCCCAGTTCGCGGCCAACGTTGTCCAGGGGGCTAGTCCGACTTGAGTGGCCCCACGCCTCACCGAGCCCTGGGAAGACATAGAAACAAACTTTAGTATCAGAATCCCAGCCCGAGTGTCAGTTTGGGACTAGTTCGCATTTTTTGTGGTTTGTTACACATTAGCGCAAGAGGAAGAACCCCCTGATATTATTTCCCAGTCAACCCCACCCAACCTGCACAGTTGGGAAGAGGTTATGCCAGAGTACAAATTTTGGCCCCTCCCTGGGTTTCCTAGCAGAAGTCAACCTCTGGCCTGAGGGAACCGGGTTTCTCAGCTAGGACCTGCTCTCCTGGAGTGCTCTCCTGGCAGGACCTCAAGGGACCTCTGCACTAGAGAAGCCCCGGACATCACACACTGGCGATAACTTTTGCGTAGGTTCACTAGTTTGTTTAAGGAGACGAGGGACACTCATTTCTCGCCCAAAGTTTTCATCATCGTCCTTATCAAGAGGCGAAGAATGTCCCCCCACATAGGGAACCTCTGACCCCAAAGTGGCCCGAAAAAACTGGCCAGGTTCATCTGGTCCCTGGCGTCCTTTCTGATTGGCTGCGGGACTTTCTAGACATTCTCCTCCCCTGGATCTGACTTTAATCCCCTTCGAAAAAATCCTTTAGCTTGCGGTTGACTTTCAGTCTGACCCTTACCAGCATCCCTTCGAAATCCTTCATCTTCGTTTTCCCTTGGAGCCCCAGCTTTACACACCCTAGTCCTGTCCCGCTCCGCCTCCAAAAGGGGGAGGGGGGACTTTCCTGAAGTCGGTTACTTTGAGGTGCTAACAATTTCTTAGCAATATTTTCGTTGCATTCTTGACATAGAAAGTAATTTCGTTCTCTACTTGTCAGGTACCATCTCCTATTAACAAAGACAGTCCATTCATCTCCTCTATGTTACCACGTTAAGATCTTTGGAGGCTTTGCCAGTTTTTATGGTGATGCCTAAAACAGCAAACCTTGAAGACTCTCATGGTTGATTTTTTAAAAATTAATAGTCTACCATATTACCTGTGTACAGAAAAAAATAAAAAGGCAGAAGAAACTTGGGCAGAGCTATGTTAAATGTGTTACAGATAATATCTCTATCGGGCTGCTTGTGGAATTATATCAACTAGATAGTGAAGTCCTTTCATTCTTACATCATTGTACAAGGTTTAACATGACATGGTTTTTTGTTGTTGGCGGTGTTTTGTTTTTTTTTTTTTTATGACCTTCTTCATTAGGAGCACATAGGTAAAACACACAATGACAAAAACACTCTAAATGTGGCGCTGGGAAGAATCTTTCACAACAAAACAAAGAGTTAGGTTTTTTTTTTTTTTTAAGGTGTTGGCCAGGAGCTGCTTCCTAAGCAAGCGATCAAAATCCTGGCAACGAGTAACACTGAACGCCCCTTAAGCTCAAATAGGGTCTTTCTGGGTGTTTGCACATCTAAATAAATCTAACGATTTCCCCACCGCTCTGTAAACACTGATGTTCCCTGCCTGCGACTGGACTCCTCTCTCTCCCTCGTGCAGATTGACCCCTCCTGACTTTTTAGCCCGCCCCAACTTCCCTCCCCAGAGTGACTCCACTGTCCTGGTTTCTTTCCTTCTTCTGGACCATTCCAGGAGGTCCCCGTCACAGTCACCTGTAAACATCCTTTCGTGTTGTCTCCTTCCCATTCGCTCCTCAGGATTCAACCAATCTATTCTCCTCGATATCTGGCACGACATTTTCTTTTCTTTTAAATCTCTGTTCAGACATTCCTACCCAGAAGAAGAGTCTGAACGAGTTGACTGCGGAGGCTAACAGGGTAAAGGAAAAGGACTCTGCAGAGAATGCCCGGGACGCAGGTGTCGCCGCCCGTGAGCGCCCTTGGACCTGAGAAGTCCTGAAACCCCTTGCGCAAGCGGAGGGCGGACACTCCTGCACTTTACCGGTGGATTGAGTCTTCCTTGTGAGGGGAGACCGACTCGAAGCCCCCAGAAGTGTTGGAAACCTGTGCGTGGGGCCAACAAACGTCTTCAATGTAAAATTTTGTTGGTCTCCAGGAGCGCCTACCCTACCCAAATGATCTGAAGATTTCCCGGGCTGGGCTGTTGGGGGTGGGGGTGGGGGAATACTGGTTTAGGACTCGCGGCGCCAGCCTCGACTGTTTCTTGTGTCGGGTTACGGCCTTATTATTATGCTCCTACGAGGGAAAATAAGACTTCCCAAAGGTTAATAAACAGCCCATCCGGGTGCGGGTTAACAGAGGCCTCCCTCCCCCTCCCTTATCCACTCTTCCACCCACCCCCACCACCTTTTTAAGGAACCTTTTGCTTTCACGGAGCATTGCCTTCTCTTTTTGTTTCCCGTCGAAATCTCCGTCACAGGGTTGAGTCTGGGTTAATGTTTTATAAGGAACTGACTACCCTCGTCTACCTGTCGGTCTTCCCTGACGTAATACCAGGACTGAACTCGCCCTTTGGGGTGCAGAGGACACTTCCCCAAGCCCGCATCAAGGGTCCTCCTTTCCAAAAGTCTCGAAGTGGGCCAGAGACCCCTCTCCCTGGACCCCCTCGCCTCTTGCCTTCAGCGCGCGTTCCGGCACCCAATTTCAGTTGGCGAGGGGGTAAGCTGAGATTTCGTTTCTGCACTTGACCTACCGCAGAAAATTCGCAAATCCTTTGATTGTCTGTTTAAAATGAGGAGGAAACCAGCTCCCTTTGCGGCGGGATTACAGTGGGAACAAGATCTAAAGATTCTCTTGTAATTCGGTGAGGCCGAGGGAACAGGGTTTTGCAAAGGAGAAAAGGAGCTCTGTGAGGGAGGCGATAACTAAATCGGGTTTTAGACAAAAGGATTTTCCCCAGCTAAAGTGGCCGAAGACAAAGGAAAACATAATCTATTTTGGAAGATTTCCAAGATATGCCACATTAACCTTAGCAGATAAATTTTGCTTCTCCCAGGCTCCCCTCTTTCCTTAAAGTCTGGTTTATCATATTTACATAAGTAGCATTAGAAGGGATGTATCTATTATGGATCTAAAGGGCTAGCTCACATTTCGTGAAAACCCCGGTAAGTTTCACTGTTGCTTTACCCTTGGTGCGCGGTTGAGCCATTTCCATTTAAATACCCCCTGACCCAAGGATTACCTCAATGGACTGACTGCATGGGTTTTGTAATTTCCTGAAAATGAGATTTCGATTTATAAAACAAGAAACCAATTAGTAACCAAATGAGGCGAAGTAGATCCACTAAAATTGACCTAATCCCACAGGCACCATTTAGGCCCGTTCTTGGCGAATGAATGATGAGCCTCAGTCTAGCTGAGCCCAAAGCATCATCCAGCTGTGTTATTGCAAGCAGCAAAAATAAATTGATCGAGGTTTTCCTTCCGAATGAATTTCATACCCTTGACAAAACACAGATTACAGACCCTGCATCATTGCCGCCTTCACTGTGACAGGAAGAGGTGGAAGAAAAGAGCTTGTTCTTTCTTTTATTCTGTACATACTATACTGCCACAGAAAGGCCTCCTCCTTGTAGTTGTTCCCGGGACCACTATCTACTCCATGGATCAAGATATGCCTTTTAGGCAATGAGGGGATAAATGCATAAACTAGAGACGCTGTCCCTCCATTTGACCACAACCTAGAGACTGGGGCTGGAAAGGCCCTGGAAGGCACAACTCCTAATTTTTAGTCCCAAGTCATTTGTCCAAGCTACCTGGGTCAACCGCGGCGGAGGGTGAGGGGGAGAAGGTTGGACCACGGAGGAAATCCCAAAGCCTGTTTATCCTGCAGAGCCTGTGCATCATTACTGAACGCAAATCCTAGCATTCCTCCGCTAGAGGTACCAAGCGACCTTGGTGTTGGGGTTCCCTGTGCCTCCGCGGCTGGACTCTCTGGGGAACAGAGACGGAGAACGGACACTTCCCATCGAGACAGAACTCCTGGATCAGTCCTTGGGCAGAAGGTCGATTTGGGAACGGACGTGCACCCTCTCCCTCAGCTCTAGCGCAGGGGCCCTTCTAAGCCACCCGCCCAGTGTGGCAGTGCTCCCTAGGGCGTCGATGACCGTGCCCTGCCAGGCCTTGTCTTGCACCAGTTCCCCGGGACCCCACAATGTGCGACTACCCTCTGTCTGCAATCCGTGTGCCCTGCCTTCCTCTGCCTGCCGCTCAGGGGCCAGAGACGCTCTGCGGCTGAGCCTGAGAAGACACTAATGTTACTGTAAATGTGGGATGAAGCCGGATGGTCACAGAGCTGACCCTTTCTGCGCCCTTGTCATGCTCCATTCCGCCTCCGAGTTTAGGCTTTCCTTTCGGGACTGAGCCTGCCAGCCGACACGTCTGAGCCGGCTGCTAATGAACAAATAAACTGCAAAAAACGAAGGAAGGGGAGGGTTCGACAAGATTCAGACTAAAACTGGGTATAAATACCTGGGGAGTGTCCTGCATGGTGGCTGAAAAATGTCAAGCGGAGTCGCCCAAGTCTTTGGGCCTTTGAGAGCGGCCGGACTTGGTGATGCCACTTCCCTAGAGGCCCGCTCCTGCAAGGCAGAGCCGCAAAGGACAGAAGAATTCCACTTCGATTCTACTTGAGCTGAGATCCTCTACAAGTGCACGGAATCTTCCCTCCCGGAACCGGACAGATTGGACATAATTTCTATTTCAGATTTAGACAACCGCCAGTCATTGAGGCTGTGCCCGGGCAGCAAGAAAGGGTGGCGGGCACACAGGAGCACTCCGAGCGCTCCGCAGGGCCTCTGCCCCAGACACCCGGCGGAGACATTCCGGGCTACCCTTACACCTGACCCGGCACAGGGAATGGGGCGACTGTTTAGAGTCCCAGCGCTGGGCCACTGCAGAGAGAATGGGACTCACTATGCCAACTTAATTGGCCTTGGGCCTTCAGACCTTGACACACGCGAAGATATAGTAGCTGTCCCTAGCCTAGCCTGAGCCATAAAGACACAGTAGTCGCCTACTGTGTGGGGGTACCTGAGGAGGAAAGTTTGTTTCATTGTGGACATTGTTTTAGTATTCTCAGAAGAGCAGGACCATTCCTAAATAATTGGGGTTCCTCTTCCTCACATAAAATTTAAATTTTCGAGGATCAAAGACTGGCAATGAATAATCCACTAAAATCATTAATATTATAAGAGTCTGAACCTCTTTTTTTTTAGAAATTCCTAGACCTATAGAGAAATGCAGCAAGAATCCGTGGCTTTGTATTCTGTGTCACCATTTGTCAGGAAAAGTTTCAAGCTGCCGGGATTCCCTAGAACTGAAAAACAACTCTTGTAGAAATCAGGTTTTTTACTCTGTAAGTTTAGTATTGTTTTAGCTTCAAGTACATGATCATACCTTATTTGAAATCATCACTATAGCTTCTGATACCTGTTTTTTATATTTTTTTCATGTTATTATTTTTTGGTAGTGATCTGTCTCCTTAAGAAAAAAAAAGGTGTTCCCCCACCACCACCCCAGTGGCTAGACCTACAATTTCTAGCAAATAAATTTGCCTTGCAAATGCTCTGCACAAAATTTAGTTCTTCACATTTTAAGTCAACATCAAAACTAGAATCAAACGGAGAAAATCAGTGTAGAGCATAAACTGTGCTTAAAGGCTTTTAAATGAGAAAAACTTCTGTAAGAAAATAAACATGGAAACTTAATGCTCAATCATTTCCTTGAGCAGCAAGAAAAACAGTCTTAAATCACCGATGCACATGGGAAATGGGAGCCTCTTTCTTTTCTTCAGTTCTCTGCTTCAAAAAATATAATACAATTAGGGATTCAATCTAGAGATGAATATTATAGAAAGGGTCTGTGGAGGTTTGCTTATTCATCCTCTCTTTCCTGAACACTCACTAATTTCAATTGTGATTATTTTTATTTTCTAAAGAGGTTTTGACAACGAAATGGCAGGGCAATATTACCTAGACTGAACAGCTATAGACTTGAAAACATATCTGATTCCTTCAAAGTTCATTCCACATACCACTATGCCCAGTAAAATTGCATTATAGATGGATAATTAATATGTATTTCTTTTTAGTTGAATTTGTCCTATTTAGCACACAAACAAGGTCAAGACATCTCTTTTTTTATCCTGTCTTTCCAGCTTCGATAGCACCTAAGATTTATATATTTCTACATGCCTCAATCTTTCCTTTTCTAGACTATTTAGAAAAGATTATTATCAGTCAGAAGATATGTGCTTTTAATGATTTCACAATAATGTTATCACAATTTCTTTTTTACTTTTTTTTTTTACTATTAAATCTCAAATTCAACATGGGAATCTAATGCTTATTCTTAATTATTTGGGATATCCATATCCCATCCTCTTTTCTCTATCATTTCCCCCTCTATCATTTCTCTACTCAGGTAAAATAAGTTTAAAAGCTGAAACATGCCACCAGATAAAAGCTAATAGACTCTTGAGTGAAAAACTACACTTAGCAGGGAAGATTGGAAAGGAAATGACCTATATTTTAATTATTTTTCTCCTTTAAAAAATAAGTATGGGGAAATTTTATTTGTTCATTTAATTTTGAGCAGCAAGAAAAACAGTCTTAAATCAACGACGCACGTGGGAAATGGGAGCCTCTTTCTTTTCTTCAGTTCTCTGCTTCAAAAAATATAATACAATTAGGGATTTCAATCTAGAGATGAATATTATAGAAAGGGTCTGTGCATTGTAGGGTAATATAGATGAATTGTGATATGAACAAAAAAACCCAAATTTTACAATATCATTATGCCTATAGCTATGTCACCAGATTTATAATTATTTGAGAGTGTCTTACAAAAATCCATGTGTAATGGGATATTTACCATGGTAAAATAACTATCCCTAAAACAAAATTTATTGAGGGTCTACTGTGTGCTAGAATGGTTTCAAGACTGATATAAGAAGGATGAATTTAATCTTCAAATTCCATTTAGTCTCACTAAAGAAGACTACAACCATCTGGATATGGAGATGCAAGTCAGTGATCCCAGGGACTCAGAGGCTGAGGAAGGAGGATCACAAGTTCCAGGATGGGGACTGGGGTATAGGTCAGTGGTAAACCTACCACTGTGTTCAGTCACCAGTACAAAAAAAAAAAAAAAAAAAGCTACAACCATATAAAGATGAAAAGGTTTCCTTCACTGCCTTGGACCTCAGTCTTGTCCTCCCAGCTTCTCTGAGGCAAGGGAGAACCCAAATTGGGCACCCCCTGCAGGTTGTGCCAAATTCTAAGGCTTTTCACTATTTCATTCCTTTGAAAGCTGATATGTTGTTGTTGTTATTTATTGTTGTTTTTCTTTTTTAATATTTTGAAGGGCCGCATTTGAGTTTTTGAAGCTCATGCACTCTCAGAATTAAAACCTCATCCCTAGGAGCCAGCTGTTCCTATGACCCTGTCTTAACTCAGGAGGCTGTGGGTGAGTTATGAGCTCAACAGTAGCTGGAGAAATAAATGATGTGCCCAGAGTTCACACATCGTCCATCCCCTCCTCCCCATAAACTCACACTCACCCATAGAAGGGAGAGGTGGGAGGGGCCGGGCCGGGACTCTGGAGGAAGTGAGGGGGGTTGGCTGCAGAAAGCACAATTGCCCTTTAAAGTAGCCAGAGGGGACTGGCCTTGCCACCAAAGGTATTCCAGCGGGAGACTTCGCCCGTGTTCTCTTAAAAAAAATAAAAATAAAATAAATAACGAGAAGTTGCCTATGAGAATTTACTTTTTGTCCCTCCTATTTACTTATAACGTGATTTATAATTTGTGGAGGTAGGACTTAATTAAACAAGAAAGCTTGCTCTCTTACAAAACAAAAACAGTCACCAAAAACAGCCCCGAGCTCCTTCTGGCGGAGCTTGCCCCTGCCCGGGGTCTGTACCAAGCAGGCTAGCGTCCCTGGCCCACGCGATTCCCTGGGCTCTCAGTGCCGGCGTGATGCCTGCCCGGGAACGCCGACCCGCTATTCTTCTCCTCCTGCGATTACTCGCAGCCCCACAAGCAGCACCATATGCTGCTTCTGATCAAACAGCGAGCGACATTGGCATCGATAATTGACGAGACCGGCTAGAAATCACGCAGAAAGGGAACCCACTGAGACCGCAGGGGCTGACAAATCACTGTTAATAATCCTGTTAGGAACTGCGTGGCTAGCGGAGTTCGCAATAGCTTTATTTTTATAAAGTAGGCGCTGACAGTATAAAAGACAACAAGATCTCTTTTTAAAACAGAAGACAGTGTGGTATAACGATAAGTTTCCCATCAGCAATTCTCAGCACAGTTTGAATGGGAAATGTGGTTTTTAGCATAAAGTTCCTCCCTCTTTTTAATTTTTTTTTCTTTTAAAAAACTTTACAGTTACTTAAAGCTTTGATTCCCCTCCTCCTGTGGTTTCCAGGGTCAAATGAGGAGAACTGTTCAAGGAACCACGTTAAGAGGAACGGACCATGTAGTTTGAGGGTAGAATTGAACTATAATTTGGAAGTTTTCCTGTAGGGTCCCTGACTAATTTGACGCATATTTTTGCAAGCTTTTGCATCAAGATCAAGCAAAGTGAAACTCCAAACCCAATAATGACTATTTCCTTGCCCACCACTATTTCTTTAAAACAACAAATGCCAAACATTCAAAATAATGATTCAACATAAACTTTCAGAGGTCAAATAAGAAGCTTTGTTTGTAAATTAACAGGGTTTTTTTCTGCTAGATTTTTGTTTGCTTGACTAGTAATCTCTCCTTTACATTTTCAAATCTTCCTCTTCTAGTAAAAACATATGTAAAATATTTTGTATACCTGTTTTAATTTGATTGAGTAAATGGGTAAATGGAAGAGAGAAGTGTCCTTTCCCTAGTGAGTATAAACAGTTTTTTACAGCACAGTGTTATATGAAGGCTGCTCTGCCTCACACAGTGAATGTTGATGAACTAAATATAAGTTTTAAATCATGTCAACGACTCAACTATTCTAATTTCCCAGCCTTATAAAACAATTTTTCCCAGGATCCATTTGCCAACCTGCCACCCAGAAGATATTTTCTAAGTGGGCTAGCCATCTTAGTCCAATCTGATGTATTTTGAAACTAGATTAGTATCTTACAGATAATGTAAAGGCCAGAGTTGCAAATCACCAAGTCCCAGAATTAGTTTCCTAATTTGAGAATATCTTGAAAATGCAGAATAAATTTACTATAGGCAGCCAAGAGACTGGGTAAATTCAGGATGTATTTGTATGAATATACCTCCTCACTTGCAGAACCATAGACATATAGAGGAATTATTATCTGATTTAGTTACATGTAAGTAGATCTATCCATATCTAGCAAATATACAGAATCTAGCAGTGTTCCTGCTTTCTACTGGATACAATTCAAACAAGTGGAATAAAAAAGAAAGTCATGTTTGGATTAGTAGTACTTTCAATTGAGCTCAGTATCTGAAGTGTTGACAAAAGCACTGTTGGGCTGCTTCCCAACCAAACACATCTGATGGACTGAACAGAAAGTATTAATGGGGAAGTAGAGGGAACTAGGAAAAGGAAAAGCAACCTTGAGTTTATCGAGGAGCTGAATCAAGTAGTTAGGCTAAAATTTCCTTTGCATAAAATACAAATGTAGTAAATATGGGTGTACCTCCCTCACTGGGGTAGGCTCATTGTCTGGCAAGTTCCTACCCCCTTTGCTTTGAAATTCCTTCAGCAAAGTCACTTACCTTCTGGGAACACCACTCTCATTTTGAGATAGCTGGTCGTGAGTCTGATTATGGATGCTTTGTCCAGCTGCGAGGTGATAGCTGAGGGCAAAGGCAGTAATTTAGCCAGTTCATAAAACTCACTGTTTTCCTTCTCCCTCCTAGTCCGGGCAGCATTTTTGGACTTCTCTTTCATTGTGTCTCGTTCCCCCTTTCTTCTTACAACGTGAGCTCCACAGATTCATCCAAAACCAAAAATTAACTTTCAATTAGATATCATACTTGGCAAAAACATAAGCCATACTTTAAATGAAGAGGCTGAAGTCTGCACCAGGGAGTGTAGTGCTGGTAGTAAAAGGACAGCGCAGAGAACAGAAAATATTTTCTTTGAAAAAGTGTACGATAGAAAAGTTGCTGATCCACGGCAATTTGGGCAATCCTGAGGTTCCTAGGTCTCAAATGCTGTCGGGACAACCGAGGAACCAGCCTTTTCTTCTATTCAGCGCTGCGAACCCCGATCCTTGGAAAATCGGCATAATAATCCCCGACGTTTGCTCTTCAGTCCTATCGCATCCGAGGCGACTCTGGGACCCTTTATGCAGAACACGAATCCCAGGTAACTCTTTCAGACCACTGCGAAGACAACAGCATCAGAGCGTAAGAGATCTGTGGCTCCACCATCACACCCTTGCCCCGATTCCGAAAAACCGCTGTGAAAGGGCCTCGGCGCGCCTCAGCTTTCCTAGCCAGGATCAGTAATTTTTGATTGTTTTTTAAGATACAAAGAAAGGAGCAGCGAGACTGAGCACCCAGCAAATAACGCTCGCGTTCCCTCACCCATGTCAGCCACGTTCTCCAGCCCACTGGGAACCTGCCCAAAAAACAAAATACATATTTTTGAAGACCCTCAGAAGATCTTCAGCCTTGGGTCTCTGCACTGGCGCCCAGGCCAGGCACACATCCCAGGAAAGCAGGTTTCCG